CCGTTCCCTCAGCTGAAAATGAAATCAAAGTGTTGGCAATCAAATCTAATTATAAATTTAGTTTAACTAGCGAGATTGTATTACAATCTGTTGCCGCCAAAAAAAAAAGGATTTTACACCATATTTCCGTACAGGTAGGGATAAATTTTGAAACAATATGTAGTGATACAAAAATATGAAAGCCATGGGTGCCTGAATTTTATATATAGTATAACAAATTAAACTCCCACAAACCACGCTATTTAATGATGCGTATGAGCTCCATACTTTTTATTTCTATTTTTCCACAAATAACAATCTTTTTTAGCAAAATTGGACGGCATGGCATGAATAAACAAGTAACGAGCATGCTTAAGTACCTTAGGTGATGGATGACGAGGGTCTCGAAAAGGTGAAGAATTAGGCTTCAATGTCGCCCCACCTTTTTTTGGATGCCTATCTTGAAATTTCATATCCTCATGAAAATTGTTTTCTTTCTGCTCAACAGAGCTCTTCAAGGACCCAGATTTGTCGTTGACAGCGAAATCATTGAGATGATAATCGCCCTTTATAGCCTTGCTTATGAAGTGTAGTGCCTTTGTCTCAAATGCCATCCTTTCATGAACACTTCTGTGAACAGGACTTGGCATAGGAATCGGAATTGGTGCCGTTGACAAAGGACCTTCTGAATTGTTCAGCTTGTCCTGATTCCATATTTTGGTTTTGACTCTTTATTCACTTCTTGTTCCAATCTCAAACCAGCTTGAAGTTGTCTTATCTGGGATTCCAGTCGCGCTATCTCACCCTCCACCACAACGTTCTGTTAAAAGCTCTTTCGTCTACTCAAATGACATGGATAATATAAAATAATTAACCATTTGTTAAAATAACAAGGAAGAAAAAAATCAAGTGGGTATTATATTACCTTGGGAGGAAGAAAATTTGGAATCGATATGGCTGCACCATTCGGCCGATTATAAACCATCTCCAAAATCTCATGAACCTTTTCTTCTTGATCCAACAACCTTTGAAGCATAGAGACCTAATCGTTACATTAAAAAGTCATCACATAATCCTCTATCATGTACATGTACATATCGATATTTCCGGTAGAATATGCATGGTCATAAATTATCCTATCGAAAGCAGAGCCCCTAAAAGGCACGGTCCTCATTTATTACCCACCACCCTTATCGGCAATTGTATGAAATTTGTAGTTCCAACTGTTGTACTTTGTACTACATACTCGTGATGAGAAAACTTTAACAGGCCTAACTTTTTAAACGGCGGGTGGCAGTTTATACTTCCCATTGTGATTGAATAAACCAAAGATAACTTGAATTATTTAGAGAGTGTTTTGGCAACTATAGTTTCAAAACACTTTTTCTCAAACGAGACAAATTCCTTTATATATTTACTTCATAAACCGTAAAAGCACTTTTGAAACCATGGTTTGGTTTCTATCCAAACACCCTTTTAGACCGTAAAAATCACCTATGTTCTATAATGTTCTTTTAAATGGACAAACAAAATAGTACACGTAGCTTTGAGCCAGCTGCCAACGGTGAAATTAACGCAAACAAGCGGATGAACACATATGTATTTCAAATGTTCTCTTATGTCCAGATCAGGCAAAATTCAGGCGAGCAATCTAGGATGCAATGATTCTATTTCAGGCAGTTTGTAATGCTCGGACCCATTGACAAATATGCTTATTATCTCGTCGGCAATCGACATGAATATGAGCCAAATTTAGGAGTTTATCGATCATTCTTCCAAGGCAATTACAGTACTTTCATTCAATATTCTCAAAAAGATTAAGTGGGCAGCAGAATTGTGCTTTGTGTGCATAATATCAGAATTCATAATACCTCTCTTTCAAGTTCCTCCCTTTTCTGCTGACCATTGAGTTTTTCTTCTTTTTCTGAAACCAAAGGAAGAGACAATCAACCACTACTTACTTAATCCTGGTAATCTCATAACTGACATGCTGTGATACAGATTAAAGACGCCCAAAAGAAAAAACCCCACTATTCCTGATAGAAAAAGTATAGTAGACTTACAATCTCAGAGGGGGAGTGAAGAGAGGATTCTACTTGGCTGGCCATGGAAGGGTCTTGGATGTACCCAAGCTTGAACACAGTGCAACTACTGGAAGAAACATTGAAACAGCAGGAAATAGGAGGGCTATTACATTCATGAGAGTGTTGGTGGGAGGATAACACAAGCTTGGGGCAAAGAAAGGGGTGAAGAGAGGGCGGCAGATGTTGAAGTTGAAGTTGTGGTGGATTGTTCGGGAGGATGAGAGGTAGCTTTCAGAGAAGATGCTCATTGGGCTGGTTCAGGCACTCGGATAATAACCACCTTCTTTCTGGGTGGGGCTGCTGGTGGGAGTGGGGCATCATGCACCACAAAAAAGTCACCCTTTGGCTTTGCTTGCAATATTCCTCATCTCTGAGCTTATGTTTTGTATATTCTATTTCTTATATTTCTAAATTCTAACCACCTTTTTCCCCAGGAGGCAAAGGTGGGCGGTTTCCTCATTGAAATTGGGAACTAGTGACACATATGGGTCTGCGATGGACGGGTCATTCTTGCAGAAGCATAAGAAAAAGAACCGAGAACAGATTCTGATTATCGAGGAGCAGTAAACCTTTTTTTTTTTTTTGGGGAGCAATTTTCAGTAAAATGACATATAACCAAAAAAGGGGGGAAAATGATCTTTGTTGGCATATATAAAGCTGGTGCCCATGCAATTGCTCGTGCAGGATGATAAATTTTTTGCACCGACCCGCAAAGTTGGCTCTTATTTTCTATGGCAACGACCAATTCACAATAACCAAGAGAAGCTTATGGAAGAAGCTCAGTCTGCTTTAAAAAGGTGTCCTTTGAATACTGGTGTTAAAGAATGTGGTGACTCCGTTCCGATTTGCGGAATATCCGACTTTTGTTCATTGAGAAAGCTCTCCGATTGACAGTTAGGTAAAGAAATAAGATACTACAATGTTCCCTTTGCCGCCTTCTTAAGATTAGTTTTGTTTGGTTAATTTTCGTCGGATGTTTCTGACTTGGAGAGGAAGTTGTAATGATGCATGCAAGATTGTAATATAAGAAAGTCAGAGTGACGGAGAGAACCACATGTCAATTTGCCGGCATAAATCATCAACATTAGGTCTCAAAGCGTGAAGACAATTGATTTTAGGTTGGGAGCCAAAAAAAGTGATGGAAGCGAAAAGCAGCAATTTTCCCTTAATTGTTTAGGGCCATTTGCGGTTCAATTACATAATGGACCACTAAGTTGGGCCCAAGAATCTTCACCGGCTCATCCTTTTAGCGACCATAGGAATTTTTTTTTAATAGCAAAAAAAAATCCCAACTAAAATGACTACTAATATGGCTTTTTTCTTTTTAACTTCTGTATGGCTTAACTCCCGCTATGGTTATTCTTTCCTTCAACTCGCATTTTCCAAATTTCCCTGCAAAAAAACAAAAACTTGCATTTCCCAAATTTAGTTGTATATATTCTTTCGATCCTTAATATAAGACCCATTTAACTAATTTGATTAGATTAAGGAGTTAAGTAAATTAGTTAATTATAAGAAATGTGACATGTTTTCCTAAAATACTATAATATCTTTTTAATACCCCTTTTTCCTCTTCTACTTGATTATGGTTGAGGGAATATTTATAGAAGTAATTTAAAGAAAATTGATAAATATGAAAAATGATTTTTGATATTTAGAATCAAAACCAATTCATTAATTAGGTTATATAGTAAGGATCCGGAGGAGTATTTAAAAAAAAGTAAAACTCATGGTTTAATTTCTTTTGTTTTTCCTCGCGCATAGGAAGCGTAGTTTCCGCAGCTGGCCCCTCGCTCTTTCTAGTTCCCTAGTGGGGTGCCATCCCTTACGCCGTCGGGAAACTGCTCGGCAATGGCGGCTCTACTTCGTTATATATCGAGGACCCAAAAGCACTCCCTCTTTACTGCAGAAGCTTTTACCTTGCGTCGTCCTCGTTACAAGACGTGTCATTCATCACTTCGTCTCGAGGTATTTCATTCTTTTCGCTCTCCATTCATGACAGCGGGAGCTTACTTCATTGATTGTTTCCTGACCTGTTCTACTTATGTGTGATGCTGTGATCAAGTGAGTTAATAATAAAAATCATAAGAAGACGTGAAGGAAATAACTGGAGGGAGAAATGTAGAATCAGAACACAACTTGGCCAAATTAAAAAAGACCATAAGAAAACTATGCTTAAACTTTAAAGGAACTTAGCTCAAAGCATCGGTCACAGCATAGCAAATTCAATATCACGTAGTTTTTTTGCAGCAAACAGTTTACTATCTGGTGTCTAGTTTACAATGCTTCGCATGATAGCATTAGAAAATGAGAAATTTCACCCTGAATGGTAATGATTTGCACTTTGCGCTGACCAACTTATTAATACATGAAATGGAATTGACGCAGCAGGCCTTGAATTTGATTGTATGTTTGATCATAGAGGTGATAGTACTCGCTAAACGGGCATAGGGGAGATATGTAGTTCGAAGGAAGCTGCATTTCACAGCATCAGACGTTGTTTTACTTGTGAAAGGGGTTTATTCATCTTTCATTTAGATACTTATTTTACTGGGAACCAAAATGCAATTGAACTCAATTCCTTCCTGCAGTGAGATTTCTGGGAACTGCTACAGAAATTGCTCATGGATTTGATGGCATGATGACGGGAAACCAGCGGAAATATTACATGCTTGGGGGAAAGGGGGGTGTTGGTAAAACAGCTGTGCTGCCTCCCTTGCTGTCAAATTTGCAAATCATGGACATCCTACTATCGTGGTTTCAACTGACCCTGCTCATTCCTTAAGCGACTCTTTTGGCCAGGTGCTTACAGTTTTCATAGATTTTATGGAGCTTATACACTTTATTGTAGTGCACTGTAGAATCTTGACAAAACTTCAGTGATATAACGCTACAGTTCCATTAGGATTTGACTGGTGGCAGGCTTGTTCCTGTTGAAGGAGTGGATTCACGATTATATGCACTCGAGGTATTCAATGATTGAACTTCTCATGCACCAAATTGGTGTTGCTTTGATTGGTCCATTGCAAAACTTCATAAGTCATATGTTCCATTTTTAACCTTTCATGTATGACAGATAAACCCTGAGAAATCTATGGAAGAGTTCCATGCAGCCAATCAAAATGTTGATAGTGGAGGTCTGAAGAATGTGATGGAAAGTATGGGACTTGGAATGATTGCTAACCAGGTGGTATCTGCTGTTACAGTGTTAATTATGAGTATTCCTTCGTTCTCAAGTTATTCAAGCTCTATGATATAGTTGTTTCTGAGCCCTGTTAGAGACCCAATCTCTTGTTATTGCTTTCATGCTCTTAACTGTTGAAACCTGAAGCCTATAACATTTAGTTACAAACATGAAGCTTATATCTTGCTATATTTATATATTTAGAAAATAATGGTGATGATAATTAAATATCCAATTAATGATTTTGGATGCTTATATTAATGAAGTCTGCTTTCTTTTACTTTTAGTTCATCTCTCTTAGTTACAGCTTAAGATTCCATAGTTAGACTCAGGAGCTTTATTCTTGGCTCTAGTCGTGAAATCTGCATTGTCTCGCCAATGACATGACAAAGAAACTATAGTGCCTTTTGAATCTACTTGACTCCTTTGCTGTTCAAATCTGCTTTGTTAAATGTTAGTTTAATATTACTAATTTATTGGTTGATGAAAATTGTCATAGCTAGGGGACCTGAAACTGGAAGAGCTGCTGCATACTCTTCCACCCGGCACAGATGAAATCGTAGCAATTTCCAAGGTATTCCATTCCTTTTTAAATATCAATTATTTAGAAGGTTATGTACTGATATTTCTTAATTATGCTACTTTAATCCAGGTGATGCATTTCCTTGAGTCATCAGAATATGATAGGTTCACTCGGATTGTATTTGATACAGCACCTACGGTCTGTAACATTTATCGGTTCATGCATAATGTACTTAGTATTTATATGGAGAAAATCGATATTCATAATTAATTATTTGGTTATTAGGGTCATACACTTCGGCTACTGTCATTACCTGACTTCCTGGATGGATCTATTGGCAAAGTGATGAAGGTATGAATCTTAAACTTGAATACTTTCTAAGTTTAATGTTCCATAGCTTGCTTATTTATAAATGAGTTTCACTAATTTTACTAAGATACTAATTATGTTATCCAGTTGAAGAAAAAATTGTCTTCGGCGTTCAAATCTTTGTTTGGGAAAGAAGAAGCTGGAACTGATGCTGTAAGCTTTAAAAGTATTTTTAAAAGGCCTCTTTCTCTTGTTGGAATATAAGTATTCTGAATTTGTACCTGCAGCCAGACAAGCTAGAGAAACTCAAGCAACAGATGGCGAAAGTAAGGGAGCTTTTCCGGGATTCAGACACCACTGAATTCATAATAGTAACGATTCCTACGGTAATGCTGAGCTGCTGCTTTGCAAGATTACTAGCAGTGGGAACTGGAATTCCAACAACATCTAGGGGCCTTATTTCATTAAGCCTAACAGGGCTGAGCAACCACCATAGAAGTTCTTTTAAGTTGTTAATCATAGATGCTTAAACAATAAACAAACATGAATCTTAAAATGTTGTCAAAGTCAGGGTCTAGGTATGAGAATTCAGAAATAAAGGCAACAAACATATTGCATGCAATGTGCCGGTTTCATTAATTTATTGTGCTTTCTAATACTTAACGCATTCACAATTTAAATTCTATACATTATAGTTTTGGTTGAAGCCCGTTTGTTTGATGCTGCCCTTCGCTCCTACTTTAGCATCATGAGCTAAGACTTTGCTATCTCTGGTCCTTTACAATTCTTTTGAATCTTCTGTCCGAACCATCGTGGGCTCTGTTATATATAATTCCTAAAACACCATTAGTAATGGCTTCTTTGCTTGTCGTCAATAGAGATTATACTCTATAACGCTGTTCTGTGTCAGCTTCTTATTCACTTTACTAGTTTACTATCTCTTTTCAAACTTCGTTGTTACTTGTGTCTATCTTCAACTTCTGCTACAATCTTATTGTGATTATTTCTCTTGAAGGTTATGGCAATCCGTGAATCCTCAAGGTTACACGCATCTTTGAAGAAGGAAAGAGTTCCAGTTCAAAGGCTTATCATTAATCAAGTCTTGCCTTCTTCATCGGACTGCAAGTTTTGTTCAATGAAAAGGAAGGTAATCAAGGATTATTCATGTTTCTGCATCTGATTATGGTCGCATGTATAAGAAAATATAATTTCTTCTATAGTAGATCAGAATACCTAGGTAGTTTATCACTGGCTTGGTTTTTTAGGAGTGAACTTTGTGGAAGTTGCTATATGGAATTTCCCAGGTTTAATAGGACATTAAAGGCTTTTCATCCCGGCTTGGGAACCAGAATCTAAGCAGTGACGGACGAAATTGCATAAATTAGAGGAACAGAAGACAGGATGCATAAACTGAGTCCTCTGACTCTTGATGGGTTAGTGAGGTTGATATGAAGTGTGTGTGGGTACAGGTGGAAAATCCTGGCACGGCTAATTTGTGAATCGTAGATAGAATTCTGTAGCTTTATAATCTAAATGTGTCGATAGTTTTCCACAGAATTATTCCCTCTAAGATAATGATTATCCTTTGATAACAGCCAAAATATTAAAAAGCTAGATGCTAAATAAAACTTTAGCGCTTCATTGACTTTTCTGTTCCTGCAGGATCAAATGCGTGCCATTGAACGTATCCATGATGATTCAGAGCTCGCTGGTTTGAGATTATACGAGGTACCGTTAGTGGATATGGAGATAAGGGGTGTCCCGGCTCTAAAATTCATGGGTGATATGCTCTGGAGATAAGACGAGCATTTCAGATATACGGAATGCTATCTAAAACATATATAGGCCTGTCTTTCCTCCTTTCCCTGTGTGCTTGGTTTTGGAATATCTTCGGCCTATCCGTTATTTCCAGTGTCTTTGGCCTTCTAATGCCAATTTACGGTCATTGTCATTTAGAGACAATACATTTCAGGAGCATGGCTAACATCTTTCAGAGACTGGCTGAACATCTATGGACGTCTGGCAAGTTCCTTGACATCCATTCAAGGTGCGAGACAGAATCACGTTTCTTTTTTTTCCCCGTCCCGGTAATCTCTGCTGTGTACGCAAAGATTAAACTTTTGAGATGAAATTTTGTCACCTCTCCTAACCATGCAGCCACTCTGTCGAGGGTAACAGAAGGAACTCCCTTTTGTTTTTTGTGTGTAAGAGACGCCATCTCTAGAGCTGTTGTTTTTATTTTGACAGGACCTGTGAAAATGACGTCCACTAAACCATCAAACCTCGTACTAGTGAATTTTCTAAGCATTTGGTGGGAAGCAACGATCTAAAAGAACCACCCCAGATTTGCTAATGCCCAACCTTTTTTCGATCCGACCCATATTTTAAGATTGCTCATAAACCCGCTAAAAGTTTCTGCCTTTTTCAAAGAAATAAAATTGGATTCCGGATTTATTCATCAGGGATTCCTTGTCTGCCATAGTTTCACAATCTCGTTATGCATTCATGCTTAAACACTAAAACCTGATCTTCGACTGTGATTTAGAAAGCCAACATTCCTTTCAAAACATAAGGGAAACATTTGAGCCAAGGAGGATGTATGCGCTTTGAATTCATTGACCCCCTCGTGCGTGCTTAAATTTTACCAATTGAGATTTACGTTGTTTAGATCTATAATTTTTTCTTCGATTTTGTAAGAGTATTTCTTTTAAAAAAATAAAAGGAAGTAACATTTAGAAGAATATTCCTATTTATTAAATTAGGTGTTAGTTTCTGATTAATCAGAATTCATATGATGTGTCATTCTCAAAGCATATAAGAATTTCTCCGATAGCAGTAAAGTAGCAACGGCCAAAATGGTAAAAATAAAAAATAAAAAAAATAGTAGCAAGCAATCGCAGAACAAAGAATATATGGGACCCCCTCGGGGCAAAAATCCAAAACCTTTGAACGGAATCTTACCCAATATATGTACGTACAAATCCAAGAAAAAACAAATCGCTGAACAATATATCCAAATAATCTGTGCCAACAAGACATCCTAATCATACAAACGAATTTACGCTACGATTGATGAAAAAAGTTGCGAGCAATGAAAGTCAGCTATAGTAAAAAGAGTTAGTTTTTGCAATATAATCAATTAAGATTCGAGTCTTTGTAAAGAGAGATACTCATATTTAGTGTCTAATAATGTTTTAAACAGAATTGTCTCTATTAGAAGGATATCTATGTCTGAAAAAGAAAGTTGCTACGTATTGTTACAGTGAGATTATTTCATGGACTCTGTCTCTAAAAAAAAAAGTATTACATGGACTGCGTATTGTAACGATAAGATTAAGACGTGGGCCTAGTAAAAGAAAACCTTGCTACTATAACGAATTTTGTTTTATAAAATACTCATAAAAGTGCTTATTTTAAGCTAATTTATTAAGCAGCTAATCAATCAAGTTTCGACTTTCGAGTAAGGCCAAAATTTCACGTCCGCCCCCACTGCAGCCCTGCCCCCTCCACTAATGAGTACTAATGGCTAATTAATCCCAGACAGTCAAAGTTTGTCTTTAAAAAAAAAAAAAAAAAACAGTGAGAGAAAGAAGGAGGAGGAAGCAGAGAAACTCTCTCACATCATCATCAGTCACATTCTTCGCCCTTCAAAGATTCGCTTTCTGAAACACTGAACAAACCTCGTGATATCTGTCCCCTCACCATCTTGGCATTTTCTGGAGCCCTTCCCTTGAAAAGATAGTAAGATACTCCCTCTCCATTTCCTCGTCTTCTCATTCTCTGGCGTCTTACCCGCCCTTCTTCCCGCGCCCCATTTTCTTTACTATCTCATAATTATAAATGTCTTAATCTAATCATATTTGTAAAATTCAATCGGCTTTTATTTATGGCTCTTTTCGGATCGGAACTTGTTTCGTTTTCCTGTTTGGACGAATGCTGCAGAGCCTGCATATTCTCCGATTTCACCCAAATGTGTAGGAAGCTTTGCATCACTGTCTCTCATTTCTTTTTTCTCTTTTCCAGTGCTTCGCATATTGAATTCATTATTCTTTGCTTCAAGTTTGTTCAGATTGAGCAACTGTTTGTAACTATGAGATGCGCTGGTTGTCTACTGAATCATTGCGAATAATGGAACAAAAGCTATTCGGTGAGGTATCGAATTCCAGGAACCTCTGCTACTACTCTGTATCTTCATTCTCCTTTAAATCTTCGTTGCCATCTGAAGAACGCCTGCTAGAAACGTTGCTCCTCATTTCCGTTTCTCGGATGTCCGATGATTTTTTTTCTTTGTTCTTTTATCGTTGTGCCTTGATATCGTACGCATTCGAAGGAACTCTTACCGCTGCTTGCTAGCAAATTATATTGGACTTTAATGTCTGATGTCCTAAACTTCAGCTTTTTCTGGTTTCTACTACGAGCTCTTACCTTAAGTCGCTAACATTGTTGGAGTGTTATAATGATTGTTTGAAATTCTCAGCTCATCTTTTTTGCAGTCAACAAAGGTCAGTTTCCATGTTGTACTGTTATAAAGTCAAGAGCGTGCTCGTATCCTTGTTTATATATGGAAAAGATTAAGTGGATGGTGTGGCCACTGAGGGAGATGCTTTGTGAGTTTAAAATTCCTCTCTGGTCACTGTTCTCACTTCTCATTCGTTGTTGTCCAGTGCGATATCATGCCCGAACTAAGTGAAGGATTGATTTTTTGTCTTTTAATGAATCTTCACTTTTCTTTGGTCTGAAAAAGGAGTTCACGTAGAGCTGTCCTATTGGAATTAAAGGTCAGCTTGACAGTTTCTAAATGTGTGAACAAGGATTTCAGGGAGGCCAAAACGTACTTTATTTTTACTCAACGCCAAATCCTTAAAGTTTATACTTGCACTGGGTTTCTTATTCTCGGCATATCTTTGGTCATTAATATGGGAAATAATTCTGTTTATTATTGTTCTGCAGGATTGCGAGCTGTTGAAATGACTATGTGAAGCGAGTTTCTTTCTTTACATAAGTATTGTAAAATTGGCCGAGTTCTGGCATTCCGTTGGGATTAGATACTGTTGTTTCCGGCAAATTTTTTCTGAGTTAGGACGCTATTATCGGAGAGATGATTTCGTATGAGCAAGATCCTGATGTTGTGCGATGGGGCCTGCAGCTTTTTGATGCAGGCCCGTATTCTACCTGTGGTTATTGTGGTGCTGTTGCTCTGGAAAATGTTAGTTGCTATCATGGGCATTATTATAATGAAGACAACTATGAAACTGAATTTAGCAACGTAGAATATGATGAGCTAATGGCACATGCTCTTCAACAACAACTGTCACAACTCGCAGTTACAGAAGCTCCCACACCTTCAGATCAATTGGAGGAAAATCTACAGCTATCTACTTATTCCCAAGACTGGCGCAGCCATCCTATAGGTGACTATGACCCCGGTATGTTGAATATTCCTTCTTTAATGTCTTCTTAAGCTGCTCAGTTTTCTGCATTACTCTATTGTTTTGTATTTAGTTTATGCAAAATTTGTAGGACAGGAGAGTGATCAAGAAGAGGATGATGAGGGACCTTCTAGTTCATGTTCTAGCTCAGAAAAGAATTCATATTATGGTAATGAATGGCTATATTCATTGGAGGATATGGATGAATGTGCTGATGGAGACGTGGGGAAACGATTGAATCAGATGATACCAATTCCAGTAAGTTTTGCATCTCAAGTTCCATTGATGCATTTCTGGGGAAGGCTTTACGTTTTTTTTTTTAAAAAAAAATTATTTTTATTTATGCCTTCAGTTGTTATCATCAAATCACATGTCTGGGTGACAAACGACAATTTTGATATGTTATCAATAACTAATGATGCTAATTGCCTAAGCTCTAGGTTTTTTGTAGCTGCATATAGGTTGTCATCTGTCAATTTCATGATGCTGTTTGGCTAACATTTTCTACTGTCATTGATTGCTAGACTACAATCTCGATTCTCACTTCTGCTGTTTTGTGTTAGTCACCTGAGAAACTTGTTTTTTTTTTTTTGGGGGGGGGGGTGTTTTGGGGGGGGGGGACAAGAGGAAAGAAGAAAGGGGGTGTTGGATATGTTTTCCAAGTCTTCTATCATATCCTGCGTCTGTGATCCTTCATGCAGCATGTTCCAAGAACCAACGGAGAAATACCTTCAGTTGATGAAGCAACATTAGATCATCAAAGGCTACTGGACAGGTATTGCTTATTAGTTTTCATGGTTGATGGCGGTTTCCTTCCACCTTTTTCTTTCCAATTTCTGTTTGGAACTTTCTACTTATGTATCATTTAGTCTTGCTTAAATTTCTTATGCTAGACCCAAAATGCTGAGAATGTTTTTCTCATTCATAGATTGCAGATGTACGAGTTGGTTGAGTCTAAAGTTGAAGGAGATGGAAACTGTCAGGTTTGTTCTTTACCTTCATAGCATTTCCATCTCCTTGAATCGCCATGTTTAGCTTCTTATTTCTTCAGAAATTAGACACTTTTCAATAATTAGATGGTCTACATGCCCAATCACAACAAGACAACAAAATGCTTGTGTTTTATGCTTTGTCTTGACCATTGAATATACATTTACATACCTCTTAGGCTTCAAACTTATGTAGCGATCTTTGTGCTATGTAGCTCAATTGATGTCACATGAGATTTTCCCCCCTTTTCAGTTTCGTGCACTATCAGATCAAATTTATCGAACTGCTGAGCACCATAAATTTGTGCGAGAACAAATTGTGAATCAGGTTTGCGTCTATTTCATTATAGCTTTGTATTATTGTCCATATAACCGATCGGTGTGATTTCATGACAATAGTTGCTGTGAAGTTAATCTTCTCTATGCAATTTTAATGGGATATATATTCATGGATCAGTTGAAGTTATATCCAGAGATATATGAGGGATATGTTCCCATGGCTTATGGAGACTATCTAGAGAAGATGTCCAAGTACCTCTCTGCTCATCCTTGCTTATTGTATCAGTTTCTTTCTTGAAATATTTGTTCCGTGCTCTGATTATCTTGCTGATGGGATCAGAAATGGTGAATGGGGAGATCATGTTACTTTGCAGGCTGCGGCAGATACTGTATGTTTCAGCATCTTGTCTATAAGCTTTTTAGGGTTATTATGCATGATCTCTGTGCATTCTTTTACAGCTTCTGGCTGGTTATTTTCTATCATAAATACTATATTAGCAGATCCTCTTTAGTGTTAACATAGATTCATTAGAATTGGAACCGAAACGATCTACAAGGACCGCCTTATTTTGCATCGTGATAGTTGTTGTCTTGAAATGATCGTTGTGTTGTCTAATTCCTTTTAGCATGTGTTGCAGTATGGAGTAAAAATTTGTGTCATAACATCATTCAAGGACACATGCTGCATTGAAATTCTTCCTAATTTTGAAAGATCCAAGCGAGGTATAGTTATGCTTCATCTTTAATGGACTCTTAATCACATTTTGTTAATTTTGTGCAATTCACATCGATTAATACCATATCTTTATGCTCTTGAAATAGAAAGCATATTTCTTTGTTGTAACTGTTTTCGGTTCCTAGTTGTAACCTGCAATAAACCTAGCCCTACATTCCAAATAAGGATCTTGTGATTACAGGTTGACTAAGCTCTCACTTTTGACACTACTAATTAATTCCCTTCTTTTTTTTCCCCCTTGGAAATGAAAGAAAGTTATTTGCTTCAAGAATGGTGGCTTTTCTTAGTTGTTTATTATTCTGAGCATTGTGCAGTAATTTGTTTGAGCTTCTGGGCTGAGGTACACTACAATTCAATATACCCTGAAGGAGGTTGGTAAGCATGTATCCTTTCATCCATTGTTCTGCTATACGCTCCATTAGCTGTTTAAAATGATGTTGTTGTCGTCTTAAGATGTAATTCATGTAAAATTGATTTTCCACCAATGACAGGTTCTTGTGTTCTTGGGGAAAATGATGTTTAAGAGGGGGAATAAATTTGTATCAGCTAGGGAGAATACTTTAAAAATGAAAATGAATGAGCAAAAATTGGAGGAGGAAAAGAAAACACTATGAGAACCTTGATAATGAATGCTTTATATTAGACAGCAAAGGCCCAACAAGTAAGGTGGCTTCCTTTGATAATTTGCCTTTTGGAGAATTGAGATCAAGGAATATATTGTGGGAGTCATATTTTCACACTTTTCATTAAGATATTTTCCGTCTCACCAAGTCATTGAAAAGTTCTTTTTTTTCTCCGCTATAAAATTTCACATGGTAGAAAATATGATTTTCTTACTAAATTTCCTTAACAATTGATTTACCAAGATGTTTGTTAGGTTTTTCTCTGGCCGAAGTTTGTTAGGTTTACCCTTAGGGCCTTGTGGCCTTCGAGGAATTAATTAAATTATTCTACACTCAGCCAATGGGAAATTATCACCAAGTTATGTCAGTCTTTTATCTGTGAATTATTTATCTAGTGTTATGGATACACTGTCAAGAGAATCTTTATTTTAGTGTCTATTTGGGTTTGAGATGTTGATAACTGACCGAATCTAGATGATTGCAGGTCCGCATGCTGATATGTGAGTTGTTTTCCATTTCTTCTTCCTGGCTCCCTGCTGTCAAAGTCGCATGCTTTTGCCTGTTGGCTTACATAGCAATTGCCCTCGAATTAACTGCAATCCAATGTGCATCCTTTGCGCTTTATGCACTCTGGGGCAATTATATTGGCGGTGGCGGGGTTACTGGTTCGCAATCTATCATCTTATTGACCAATTTAATGCGTGGATTGTTTTGATATCTAACCTAAAACATGTTTGAATTACATGGGCCACGTTGAATCTGGTAGTTTGATGCATACTGTTCAGTTTTGAATTTGAGATGATGTTAATAGGCAGGTGTCACCGCCTTTCCCTGTGTTCAATTTTATTGCAAGCTTCCCGCTATCCTCCTTTCAAACTCTAGCATGCCTTTGCCCTTAATATATACCGAGGTATTAGAGGCAGTAATTTAGAGTATGTGAGCCGTTAATGGATTGTCAATATCCATACATCTTGATTCTAGAGGCGTAGGCCGTTGGTTGAGTAACCGGGATGAACGGAGGTAGCGAGTGAATACCAATACTGTTTGTGAAGGATTGAAATCTTTGAGTTGCTTACACACACACGCACACAGATAGCAAGAGAGGGCAGCACCCATGACAGAATCAAACTACATGAGAGGGGATAAAGATCCCATACAATCCTTCTGCACAAGGGTCCTCGGTGAATTTGGGACCGTACCAATGAACGTGAAAGCAAGAGTACCACCGAGGCCATCTTTTGCTAGCTTATCAGCAACCTTGTTAGCATCTCTCGGTACATATTGCCATATTGGAATTCTATGTTCCGCTTCCTCTTCCTCTTCCTCATTTGGTCAATAAGCATCCAGACTGAAGAAAAGCATTCTTTGCTAGATGTGTTTTTGATTAATCTATCAATGAGCTCCTTAAAATTAATACTTACCCTTACCCTATGATTAATACTCATTTCTAATTTTGTCAATTCTTTGTATTCTCTCTCTCCTCAAATTATTTCCCATGCAATGACTTTGATGAAAGTTCATTCTTCTCTCTCCTTATAAACATCATTTCCCGTAAAAAGATTTGGATGAGTCTTGGGACATGTTTAAAAATAACTTTTCATACAAAATTTAAAAGGGGAAAAAGCTTTTAATTTATGACATGTTTAATGAGTTACTTGTCACTTTTTGATTCTCATGAATTAGTTAAAATGACAAATATTATGGACCGTGGGAGTATATATGTGTGTTAAATAGATGATATGTATATATATTTGTTGTCATAACATTCCCAAATGTAAATATCTTGATGTTTAAAAGGAATAATCAGCATCCAGTTGGTTAATTGTTTTCCTTCAACATTTTGATCAGGAATTTTTGTGATTGTGATATCACAACAATTCTTAATTAACGCGGATAAGAAATTTTACTCCAACTGAATGTGTAAATGGAATTTTGGAAGTGTAAAGGACAGGGCAGCGGAGGCAAAGCTACTTTCAGCTCTCTTTAAACGCCAACAGTTTCTACGTATTTCTTTGTTTTTCGTTCAAACATCAGGAAAGGAATTTTACTCTCTTTGGAAAGTGTTGGAGTCAATCCGCTTTTGATTTTGTATAAACAATTTTCAGCTCAAAAAAAAGATTTTGTATAGACAATTCAATGGACAAAATATAAAATTTATAGAAAGAGATATTGGGTTGAAAGAACCTAAAAGTGACAGGAGTACGTTTTGGGTTGAAAGAATTAAGATCTAACCAGATTTTGAGGCAAGACCGTATTTGTTGTGATGCTACGTGTAAGCGGCGCTTCACCGAACTATTTGGGAGTTGTGTGCGCGCTGAGCAATGACATGGCCACGTGTCAAACAATTTTACGGAGAAATTACAATCAAGTCCCATACAAAATAATTACTAAAAAATTTTAATAACAATCTCAATAATTTATAATGACAAGTTTTATAGTGAAAATGACAAGTTTTTAAACTTGTTTTTTAATTATTTTTCTTATTCGGATCTCATTATAATTCTTTCTAATTTTATTCCATCCGTGGGCTAAACCACCCCACTTTTCTCACGCAATCACGTACGTACGTCGCTGCCACCTCCCTCCACTCGTACTTCTCTCTTTTTCACACTTGCATTACAACAATTTCCGAATGATTTCATCTTCATTCCACAAATTTTATTTACTTGTACATTTAATTTTTTTAAAAAATAATTATAATTATAAAATTATAGTAGTATATCAAGATTAAGTGGTAGCACCTGAGAATTCCTCCGGAACTATTTGGGAATTATCTTTCCCAAAACATGTCTATTTTGGGTCGCTACTTGGTCTACTTGACCTCAAGGATAGCCCTTTCTGGGACCACCTTCAGGTTTGAATATTAGTTGTTATGATCTTCATCGGGATTGCTGAAATGTTTTCCCGCCCTTTTTTCATTTTAAAGTCGCTGCCAATTTTGTCCTACTCCTTCTCGGCCTCCACTTTATAAAAGAACTCACCTCCTTGTTATGAAATGTGCTTGAAAGCTTCATCAGTTTAGGGGGTGTTTGGATAGAAATCAAATCATGGTTTCAGAAGTGCTTTTACGATTTATGAAGTAAATATGTAGAGGAATTTGCTTTGTTTTACGAAAAAGTGCTTATGAAACCATAGTTTAGAGGTTGTCAGACACTCCCTTAATCTATTACTTTTGGTCTTGACAGATATTCTAATGCGTTGTTTTGTTTTGAGGAATCATTGGAAAATTTTGGCACCAGATTTTGGAAAATTTAGTTTTATTCTTGTGCATCCCTGCAACTATGCATCTATATCTCTATATATACCTATTTCATATATAACATGAAATTCACAAAAGATTGTATTATGGCCAATGCAACTTATTTGACCGAATGCAAACTAAGGATAATAATTGAACGCACAAGCACGCATATAATAATTATATTAAAAAGCCATGATTTATGAATAATACTTTGATTTGATTTGACCTATTTAATTCTTAATGTTCTCCTGCTAAAACACTGGAGACGCACAAAAGGCTTCACATTCTGTCATATTTGTTTCCTCCAAGTCTTTTGCATTGTTGTAGTAGATCGATTTAATTTTTATAACGAGACTATGCATCAAATTTAATCAAATATTTTTTAAGAAAAATATGTTTTCATAAATTTACAATAAATGTTATATGCGATTTTTAAAACACAAATGAATTGTACTACATATAACAATTTTTCTCTTTTTTAAAAAAAAAAAAAGAAAAACAATGTAATCCTCTGATCCTATTTACAAGGTACTTTCAACATATTTGACACAGACAAAAAAAACATTAAAATGCATTAACTCTCTATTAAAATATAACAATTTTTTGACTTTATTTATATTTAATACATACACTTTTCAAAAGAGATAACTACCTACATTATAATAAATGAAAGACAAAATAATATATTTATACTGAAAATTTAATAAAGTGACTTATAAATAGGACTCAAAAAAATATTCTCTCTCTACCATATAAATAGGACCAGAAGAGTATATCAAAGAAACGACACATATTATTTTTTGGATATAATAATCAATGAAATGTATTATTTACTGCAACTAAACGAAATACGAAATAAATAAATCCCTCTCTCTCTCTCTCTCTCTCTCTCTGTTAATTTTCTGTTACATCTGACTTTTCACTTTTTACCCTTGACTGCTCTACTTTGTTTATATCTCTTCCACACTTCCATGTGCTTCTTTGGACACACGCCCTTCTTCACTTCCACCGCACCCTCACTTAAAAAGAAGGATCCCCAAACCACTCGCAGGGGCAATTTTGGAATTTTGAAACTTGCTTTCCGTTTCAGGGAGAATTACCGGGGTCCCGTAGAATAGCCTTAACTACTTGGACTGCAGAATAATTCGACGCTTAAATTGAGTAGATAAATATCACATTTTACGACTCGCGGGCCATTTTTACTTTCAGACAAAAGAATTACAGATCCCATATGTGTCGTGTTCTGCTTTCCTCTAATAGATTCCTTTGTGTGCATTTAATTGGGCAAAGAAGATACCGAAAAACACAAACTAGCAGAAAAGAGGCGAAAAAGCAACAACCTGAATATGTGATTGAAACAGACTAAGCGCTCTCGCTTACACATCGTGCAAAACCCCTCACTTGATTCCGGGGTTTAAAAAAAAACAAGCCTAATTCGCTGCGGGCTACTTCTGATGCAGCCACCTCAGCCATCCGGGCATTTTTCTCCCGCCCCCCACACTTCCTAAAACCTGACGAAACGAAGTCAACCCACAAACCCCCCCCGGGGGGGCCTTTTTCTAAAGAGTAGTAAAAAGCAGCAAAGTCAATCGAATAAAAAAAAAAAACCGACACTAACGACCTTATCGTATGGATCAAACCTCGAAGATCCGGGCAGTGAAAGTTTGACTGAATTGCCAGTGCACGATGTTGCAAGAGGTGGACGTGCGTCCGTCATTGCCCGTCACCGTAAACGACCATGACTGTCCCCACCAATACTGCGTTTGAGTGCCAGTTTTAACGCCTGTTTCAGCTGAGGGTGCCTTGCGGCTACTGTGGTTCCGAAGAGCATAGCGGAAGTTAGTGGCCGCGACGAATATGGAGAGGCTCCAAGAGTAACACCGTTGCGAGTCATTTGCGCACTTTACCTCGTAGCACGAGCCGCAGCCCAGCCCAAAGTCGAATAGTGCCGTGCTCAGCGCCTCCGTGTTGCCGCCATACCCGTGGCTGTATATGTCACCGTGTTCGCAAGCTCCACCTGCACAAAACCCACAAACTCTAGTGACTAAGCAGAAATGAAGGGCACATTAATAAAGAAAAAGCGTCCATGACAGAGGAGGTACAGACCCATAGTGCCAGAGGCATCAGTGCCTCCACAGAAGGGAGCATGAGCACTCTGCAGCCAAGGATCCCCAGGGTAAACCCCCGTGATTCTAACATCGACCGTTAAGGCGAAGGAGATAAGAAATGCAACGAAGACCAGAGAAGCCTTTCCCATGAAAGTACTTTAAGGGAAGCAGAAGGGAGAGACTAGGGGATGAAGGAGGACGGGCAATTTGGGTCGCGTGGCATAGACTACGGAGAGGGGCGGGAAGGCTACTACTTATATTTGGAGGGTGGGCGATGCTGTGGGGGTGGTTCCGGAATTTCACCACCCATTCCCCTCCAGGCCCCCGGGCCCTCCCATCTCCTACTCTATTTCTTAGTGCGTACTCCATGCCTTCCAATCATCTCGGTCGAGTGTGGCGTTACGCTTAATGGGTGTTGCTCAATTTTGGAACTTCCCAGTTTGCATTTCACTTTAGTATTAAATTAAGAGAATGTTTGAATAAGAATAAAACTATAATTTCATAAATATTTTTACGGCATATAAAATAAATACGTGAAAAAATTAACTCATTTTTAGAATTTCTCAGCTTGCGTTTGATTTTACTATTAGATTAAATAAACGTCACCTCCACCCCCGCCCCTCACAGGCCCCTCCTCTCATACCTCCTACTCCATTTCTTGGCGCGTATCCTATACCTTCCAATCACCCCGTTGGGTGTCCGGCTACTTTTTCTATATCGTCGACGCGCAATCTCGTACTAAAGCATAGAGCCGCCAGTGCGCGCGTGGCTCTTGGCTTCGGCTTCCATAAAGCGAAGAAACTTCCAACTTAAGGGCCTTTCCCATGGCAGGGAAGAAAATATGAGAAACGTAGGACGGCCATGTATTGGACTTCAAAATTCCACCGGTACATTCATATGTGCTCCACATTAGGAAGCAAGAGCGGTCCCAGCGAATTTGGGTCCCAGGAACAGTATTACGCTTACATACGGCATGGCAAATGATTTTGACTTGATTTAAGCCGGAATTACGGATTCAATCTTTTGAACTTATCTCCGGTTCAAAAAAATTAACTTTATCTTTTAGCATACACACTATACATTCTCAACACCAATACTAGGCATATTGTAATTTTTACTTTATACAGGGGAAGAGCTCTTCCTTCGGTGGAGCATAGACCAATTTGGCAGAAATAATTACTTGTAATGAAAATGAAGAGAAGGATATAGAAAGAAGATCAGAATGAAAATTTTATGACTGCCGCAACTTTATCCACCGCACTAAAAAAATTGTTTGTTAAAAGAATTTATATTTAGTGCGTTGAAAATGATGATAGAATGTTAAGAAAAAAGCATTCAAATAACTATCTTGCCCTCAATGACGATTTATTAATCAAATATTAATTTTAACTTTAAAATTAAAATATTTAAAAATTCAATAATTCGTAAAAAAAAAGTCATAATAAATTACAATTTAAATGATAATTACAAACTTTCTGCATGAATGGAAAAATCGTTGTAGTTCCAAAACGATTAGAAGATAATTAAACAATAATTACAAAATAAATTACAAAATGTAACTAACAATAATAAATATTTGAAAGTTCGAATGACACACTAACTTCGAATATGAAAATAAATAAATGCTATATAAAACAGATTATAGAATGAACATACATGCAAAAATAAATAGATACGTTCATCTCTCTTGGTTTTGCAAATGACTCTGGTTTGTTTACTCGTTGATGTGGATCTAAATTTTGTTTTGTCGGGAATATTAATTTTGGCTGTGGATCTCAAATTTTCTTACATGTGAAGTTCGCCGATGGAGAGGGAGATTTTTCTTTCTTTGGAGTGGTGTTTTTAGAATCTTGGATTTTATTTTGTTCTCTTTAATTCATTATTTTCATTTTTTAAAAAAATTCGGATGTCAAACATGCACGGAAATGTTTCTTTTTCTCCCCTCCCTTTCCGCTGTCTCCGTAAACCCGACGAGAAACTGACTCGTTTCAAAATCCTGACAACGGAATATTTGCCAAAAGGGGCAAAAAGAAAGAAAAGACAAGACCGATGAGTGACTGGCAGCCAAATTACGTTAGCATCTAAACTGTAACCCGAGCTCTAACTTGCCAATATTAATCTTAATATTCATATTCAGATCAAAACCACGTCAGCCTCATGATTTCCCCTCTCCGACCCACCACACGAGGAATTCTTAGGTATTCCAAGAGTCCTACTGCATTCAAACTCTGTCCAAGCATTTCAATCTGATATGGCATTTGCGTAAGATCAGCAAACATAATTGTGGGTCCCACCATTTTTTTATTTTACTGAAATCACTCTCTCTTCCCTGCCATCAATTCTCCTCCTCCTCGACTCTTCTCCCATGGCCCTCCAACTCCATAGTGCCCTTCTATTTTTTCACCACCAAAATCTAAATCTCAACTTCCAACAATGGAATCTAAAACTAAAATAATTTCTAATGATTTATTTAAGCAAGTAGTACTAGAGCTTCTCCAAGTATAAAAGCGATGGACAGCTGGTTTCAATAACAAAGGCGTCGCTACCAAGGTAAAGATCATAGAGATCTGTGCAATGGGGGCAGTGATGGAAAAAACCCACGTGTCAGCATTGATGATAGAGACAAGGATTCAAGAGAAGGAGGTTGGGCTTGGGCTGAGCGATCTTGGTGATGATGGAGGTGACGAAACGGGGGAGGTTACAGGCACAAAAGCCGCCTTTAGATATGGTGGCGACATGGTGCTAGATGGTGGCATCACCATGGGTGCAGAGGAAGAGGGTTGGCCCATAGAAAATGCTACAGGATTCTCTAACTTTGGAAAACACTTCCATTGTTAAAGGTGGCTTCGACTTTGGCAGTTCGGCACCTAGATACTAGCAGTTGACACTGCAATTAAGTTTTGGTAGTGAAAGAACACAAAGATAATATGGAGTGAGGGAGAGGGGAGGAGGGAGAATTGATGGCAGGAAAGAGGGAGTGATTTCAGTACAATAAAAAAATGATGGGACCCACAATTATGTTTTCTGATTTTATGCCAATGCCATATCAGATTGAAATGTCTCCAGCTAGAACCTACTTATTGAACAGAGTTTGAATGCGGTGGTACTCTCAGATAGAGCCGGTAATCGCGGGCTCAACCCACGAACCCGCCAACAAGTGGCGGGTTGGGTTGATAAAAATTAGGACCGTTTTAAAATGGAAGTTTTGAGCCCATAACCGCCAAGCCCAAACCCGCGGCGGGCCAACCCATTTAACCATATTTTTTGTTTTTGCAAATTTTTCCCTTTGCCTCTCAGTCTCTACACTCTTGGCCTAGTCCACAGTGCAATAGTGAGCAATCCATATCCAATAGTCTAACACGACAACACCAACACGGTCCCAATTTCACATTTTGCTTGCGTGTCGCACTCCTCCCAAACCCAATCTCCCAGTCGCCCTCAGCCAGTCCTAACTCCCAAGTCCCAAGCCCCAAGCTCTTTGCTCTCTGTCTTTGCTTTGCGCCTTTGTCCTAGCTCATGAGTGATGATTGAACACTTGATAATTGATACTTGATAGTGATTTGTGTAGTGACATTGTATTTGTGACTTTGTGGTAGTATTAATTTGGATTTATGTTTTAATTTGAAATGTTTGTTAAATTATTAAGGACATATCATGTTCATTTAATCATATGTTTAATATTTTGATATATTTAAAACTTGGAACTTGGAACTTTGGATGGGTTCCATGTTTTATTTATGATAATTTCTATTTGCATGTTTTATTTTAGGTATTTAGGAATTTGGGATTTTGAGTAGGTTTTATTAAAAAAAAAGTAAAACAAAAAAAAATTGACGGGTTTGGTGGCCTAACCCGCCAACCCACTCTCGCGGATCGGGTTGAAAAAATTCCAGCCCGTCAGAAAGCGGTCCTAAAAAACCTAGCCCACCAAGCTTCAGGCCCGCCACGGGCCAACCCATAATCGGCGGGTTGGCCCATATTACCGGCTCTACTCTCAAAGCACCTAAGAATTCCTTCACATCACCACACTCAATTGATGGAACGTTGCAACCTCATTACCATAAAGCTTCATGTCTAAGCCTGTCCAGAAATCTAACTCCAGCGGCGGCAGAGCTTGCTGTTCATCTTCCGCCCCAAAATCTGTCCCTTTCCCCACAACTTTGCCTTCGCTGGGCGGTTCAGCGCTTCACCGAACTATTTGGGAGTTATGTGCGCTGAGCAATGCAATGACCACATGTCAAACAGTTTTATCCCATCTGTCGGCTAAACCACCCTCCTTTTCTCTTTTCGCACTTGCATTATACCTTCAAAAGCAAAAAAAATTTACTTCATAAAAAACCAAAATCATGATTTTCAAATTAAAAGTGATTTTATAAAAAAAATTAAAGTGTTTAATTACTCTTATTCAAACCATGATTTCAAATTTAAATTGATTTGGAAAAAAATTGTGATGTCCAATAATTTTCTCTCAAAATCATAATTTTCTCTTTAAAAACCATGTTTGAAGAAATATCCAAAGACCCCTTGCAAAAATTTCTGAATGATTTTTTTTTTCATTCCACAAATTTTATTTACTTGTACATTTATTTTTTAAAAAAAATAATTATAATTATAAAATTATATATCAAGATTAAGTGGCAGTACGTAAGAATTCCTCTGGAACTTCTTGGGAATTATGTTTCCCCAAACATGTCTATTTTGGGTCGCTACTTGGTCCACTTGACCTCGAGGATGGCCTTTTCTGGGACCACCTTCAGGTTTGATATTAGTTGTTATCATCTTCATCTGGATTGCTGAAATGTTTTTCCCCACTTTTTTGCATTTTAAAGTTGCTGCCAATTTTGTCCTGCTCCTCCTTGGCCTCCATTTTATAAAAGAACTCACCTCGTTGTTATGAAATGTACTTGAAAGCTTCATCAGTTTAATCTGTTGCTTCCGGTCTTAAGAGATATTCTAACGCTTTGTTTTGTTTTGAGAAATCATTGGAAAATTTTGGCACCAGATTTGGTAAAATTTAGTTTTACTCTTGTGCATCCCTGCAACTATGCATCTATATCTCTATATATACCTATTTCATATATAACATGAAATTCACAAAAAATTGTATTATGGCCAATGCAACTTATTTGACCGAATGCAAACTAAGGAT